TCTGAAGTTGTCTCGCGCTGCCTGCCACCCACTGTCCACTCCGTTCTCACCTCTCTCTCTCTCTCTCTCTCTCTCTCTCTCTCTCTCTCTCTCTCTCTCTCTCTCTCTCTCTCTGTGGACTCTTCTTTCGCTCCTCCCCGACCATCCCCACTCCTCTGGACTCTCTCCCTCGTGCTACACCACTGCCTCGCACCCCTGCCCTTTTCCGCGCCAGCTCCTCTCGCAAGTTGCCTCTCACTCTTCTTTCCCACTCGTGGTCTTTTCCCTCCTATTCCTCCCGTACCCTTCTCTCAAGACATTGATCCGCCCGTCTTGCTTTCTGCCTTCCCTCCGCTTTCTCTTCTCGTTTGCCGCTCCTGTTCTATTGTCCCTCTGCGCTACCCTCCTCCCCCCCCCTTCTCTCTTTCCGTCCTCCGATGCTCTCCCCTTCCTCTCCCTTCCGTTACCCCGCCTCTTTCTCCGCTTCGTCGGTACCTTCATCCAGTCTTTTGCCTCTATCCTTGATTTCCGTACCCTCCTTTCTTCTTTACCCCAACTCCCTCCAGTACAGGAGTCCCCTGCTCCATTTCCATCCCCCCCCTTTCCACCTCCCGACTTCCTTCGGCGGTCTTTCCCCATCCTTCCCTCCTCCGGTCTCCATTTACTCCCACCAACCCCCCCCCCTTCCAACCCGATCCTCGTCACACGTCACGCTCCTTCTGCAGGCTCTCATTTTCCTCCTACCGTTCTCCTGCTTCGCCCCCAATTTGGTTCTCTCGTTCCCAACTCGCCGTCGCCGGCATTTTTCTGTCCCACACTGCAAAGCACATATATATAGAACCTAAAAGACCGCCGCAGACATCCCGATGCAGCACCGCTTTTTTTTTTATGCTCAGGAGGCTGATTTCAATTCGTGGGTTACTTGATTAATTAAAACTTTACCTCATTTCCATCGTTATCTCGAAGCTTCTGCAAACAACGCAACCTGTCGTCCTCGCGTGAAACGCCTGCAAACAAACACTCCCGAGATGACACAATCCGCCTATCATTCCCTCGGTCGTGCACACGATCGAGAGGGAACTCGTCCGCCAGCAGCTCACTTCCCGCAGGGGACTCCTGTCCCCGTAGCACCGAGCAATCGCCAACAGTCCCAGCGCGATCCCGCTCGTTCTTTGCTGAAGCGGGGCACGCAGGCTCCACTGTACGTCGAGAGAGGGGCGTCGGAAGAGAGGAGGAGAATGGAGAGGACTTGATCGAGGGAAAAAGATGGAGAGGTGGCGTTGCAAGTCCAGAAAGCAAAGGCGGTGCGACAAGCTGCGTCGCTGAGCACGGTACCTCGGCCCCTGCTGCTGTTGCTGTTGCCGCTGCTGCTGCTCCTGTTCCTGCTACTGAACCTGCTTTCACTTGGCTACAAGAGGCTGTCGCAGATGGGCATGAAAGCGCAGCAAACAAGTCGCCGTTAAATCTATCTACAGGCAAGACCTGGATCTTGAACACCTCCTTTTTCAGCTTCAGCCACTCCTCATCGTTGTCATCGTAAACGACTTTGTGTACTTTGCGAGCGGGATTGTAATACCTAACCTCCCCTGTGTACCATTTCTCATCCAACGGCCAATACACTTGAATACGCCGCCCGACGATATGCTGGAAATCGCCCTCGCGAAGATCGACGCTGCAAAACTGGGTGCCTTCTTTATGACCTTCTTCCTCATAGCGTTGTTGCAGCTGCTGCTTATCAAGACCAGCCACGTTGGAATGAAAGTCTCTTCTTCTCTCACTCTCATCCCGGTCCGCCCCTCTGTGATTAGTGGGCAGATCGCCGCAGACGATCTGATGGCAGTGCTGCTGAAGGTTTGAAGAGGCTGTAGCAGCGCCAGGTACGGAGATAGTAGTCGCTGAGATAATCGCAGAGCTGCCCGAGGACGACGACGACGAATGGCGCCGTGGCCGCCGAGACCGCGCCTCCCCCACGGCGGCTACAGACGATGTCCACTCCTCCAACCCATCATCATGGCCCGAGCGAACTCTTCCCTCCACCGCGGGGAACACAGGCGTTGCGGCGTGCAGCGAAACACCAGTCGGAGTCGAAGCGCGGAGATACGCGTCTTGTTCTCCCGGTTGATCGCGTTGCTGGTACACGCAGCACCCGTTGCCAGAAGAAGAGGAAGAGGAAGCTGTGCTGACCCCATCGTTTCCCACCTTGCGGCTACGCGTGGCTCGTTGTGCAGTCGCTGTCGAAGCTGACGATATGGCCGTGGACAGCGTCCTCTTCGTCCCCATTACGTTTCTTAATTCGACCGTGGAGATGGCGGCAGTGTCAGCCGCAGCAAGCTCTTCCCCAAGTCGAGGTGAGACGGGGAGGGCAGAGAGAGGGGACTCGTCATTCTGCCCAAGTTGCGGCTCCAGCGATGGCGACGAAGGTGTCTGGGGTTGCTGACACTGGGGCTCTGGAGAACCATCAAGCCTGATATCAGCGACGCCACAAGGGGAGGTGGTCGTAAGGACGTGCGCAAGCTGGTTGACTTCGTACGCTTCCTGTACAACTTCTTCACGAGAGACTGGAGAAGACAGCACCTTGAAAGACCCGACATCGGTCGTCTCGGGGGTTGGAATGTCATCGCCGCCGCCAGCCCCAGCAGCACATACCAACAGGCACGAAGAAGCGCTCAGGCTTCCTACTCTTCCAGAAAGAACGAGCAGATCATCATCCTCTCTCTCTAAAGCTGACAATGCCAACAGTCGCTCTCGGCGCAGCAGCGTATCATCCACACCAGCCTCTTCGGCTTCCCCAAAGCCGGTACCCCGTGTCGAGCGCTCGTATTCTCGCCCGTCGTCAGCGTCATCGGACACATTTTCAGGGCGCGCAGGCACCGGAGGTGGAGGGGGAGGGGGAGGAGATGGAGTTAGAGATGCACGTGGTGGAGACGGAGGCGGTGAGGGGAGTTGAGGCGGCGCAGGCGCGCCACCGCCGCGTGGCGGAGCGGCCGCGGAAGACGAAGACGCGTTGATAGATTGCACGTTGGCAGATGAGCGCAGCCTCTCTCCCCCCCCCAATTCCTGAGGGTACGACGAGATGCACGCAGCCCCGCGGTCCGATCGGGGGGCCTGAGGTTCTTGAAAATCCAGAGTCGCCGCCCCGCTTCGCCCTACCTGTCCGACGACCACCACAGCGACCCCAGAGGACATGAACGGATTCGCTTGTACGCCAAATAGACCCGCGCGCAGAACAGAAAGCATCCCACCGTCCCTCCTCTGCCTCCCCCATATACAAAGATCACGTCGAAGGCGGGCGGCTACTGACAGCGCAGCGCTACTCCGCGCGGTGGCTAATCGTGCGTGGTACAGGAGCGTACTACAAGCAAAGCGGAGGGAACGGTCACCAATGATTCCTTCCCGGTCCACAAACCCCTCGTCCCCTGCAACTCCGCTTCCCCGTTCCCCCGAAACCCCCCTCCCCCCTTCCCCTCCAACTACGCTCCCCCCTTCCCCTCCAACTACGCTCCCCGCCTCCCCTGCGACTCCGCTCCCCTCCCCCTGCAACTCCGCTGCAACTCCGCACTCCCCTTCCCCTGCAATTCCCCTGCTGCCCTCCCCGGAGACTCCGCTCCCCAAGTCCCCTCCCGCGCGCCCGGCGCCCAACCCCGCCCACAAGACGCGCTCAACGAGAAAGAGAGAGGAGCAAGAAGGCGCAGGAAAGGAGGACGTAAGACAAGAGGGAACGAGGAGCAAGCAGATACTTCCAACGGAGTCGGGTTTCTTGAACCAGTGACCTTAACCGTGCTCTGCGCTGTCGGCGCGCGTCTTTCCGCGAATTTGCCGTCGCAGTCTCCGACCGCCGTCAGGCGACGCGTGGCAGAAAGTCAGAGAGAACATCAGGAGATATACAAGAGAGAAAAAAAGAGCGAGTATATGTTACCTCCCGCGTGGATGATCTGCCGTCGCCTCGCGCCCTCGAACAGCTTGATCGAGGACAAGCTCGTTGCCATAGATCGACCTTGCTAACTTCCCTCACATCGGTCCCGCCGCGGAAAGAAAGCGATCAGTCCTTTTCCCGTTTTCCGTGCGCTTTACCTTACCTTACTGCATAAGCCTTGCTCCGTGGCGATGTCGCGCTATCACCATCCGCTACCGCAAGCGTGAGCTTGGTTTGTGGTGGACGTCTCCCGAGCCTCCGTGTGTGTGCCTGAAAGCAAAAGCGCGCCGCATCTTCTCCGTCTTGTCCGTTTGAACACGCGCCATGATACCATACCAAAAAAATGACTTCGACAGCGAAGACTCGCTCTACCTCCCTGCTATCGGAGGCCGCCCTCTCTCTCTCTCTCTCTCTCTCTCTCTCTCTCTCTCTCTCTCTTGCTTGGCTGGACGGACAAAAACCACGAGAGATCGTAGACCGCCGACCGACCGAGCCCTCCCCGCTTCAACACCCGCTCGCCTTCTCGACGACCGCCCAAAGAGAGAGAGAGAGAGCGCACAGAACCGCAACGACAAACGTCCACCTCCCCAGCCAAAAAAATTCTCAGCTGCCGCTTTTCCCCTAAAAAACACATCCGAAGTTTGAAATACCGTGCCAGACCTTGGGCCCCCACCTACAATACAGGCCCCGCATCTCAGCGCCGTCATCTGCCTGTCGCCACCAGTGTGGCAGCTAGGGGCAGCACGCAGGCAACGACAGAGCACCCGCGCTGCCGCGAGCGGGTGGGTGGGCGGGCGAGCGGCGGGCAGGCGGCGGGCGGGGAGGTCGCGGCAGCGGCAAGGGCGGTCGCGCGCGCGCCAGAAGAAACGAACGAAGGGGAATTAAAATATGATTTTTTTTCGGGTAAAACTATGAAATTATAATTAATATACACCGTTTTTAACACACCGTTTTTTCAAAAATGTACATGCATACAATACACACCTCCGCACAACTGCGCCAAAGCACACTACACTGAAAACGACCGAAAGTGAACAATCGCTACGGTACCGACAGCTCATCAGCCCAAAAACGAAGTTTCCACCCCCTGCCCCTACCCCTTTCTGAACTTGGCCGCCATCGACCCGCCTCACCGCCACGCCCTTCGCTGCGCCAAAAGTCGAGAGCGCGCGGCCCCACTTCAGGCCCTCTGCCAGAAATCCCTCCCTTCGAGTCTTTTCGGTAGAGTACCGTGGAGTGGAATGTACGCTCAGCGCCGAACTACGCTGGCGAAGCCAAACACGACAGGACAGCAGGGCTGGGCAAGAGAGAGGCCTGACTGACCAGGCCAGGAGGCCAGGTCAGGCTACCGGTAGGCCAGGGTAGCGCGGGACGGCAAAGCGAAGGACTGAAGGGCGGCGACTGGTACACCACCGCCCTCGCTTCCCTCTGTGCGACAGAAGCAGCAGCGGAGCATGCGGCCCATGCGGCCCTTCTACGGCGATTGGTCCATGACGCACCGCAGCCTGTACGGGCAATCGCACGCTACCCCTCAGCCCCCTTTCCGTCCGCCTTCCCTCCTTTCAAGTGTATGCTATGCATTTGAAACCAGAAACGAACCCAAGAGAAAAAGATAAAAACAAAAAAGTTGAAAAAAACAGAAACAACGGCCAAAGGCTAGACACTCCCTTTTCGCACGACTGCCCGCCAATGCTCCGCGCTGAAATTTGCCACCTACAGTAGGCGCCTACTTTCCTCTGCACTGACCAACGTCTTGTTTTTTCCTTTCTGTCCTTCATGACCTAACGCCTCGAACTTGCCGGCGTGGCGCGCGATCACCTCGGACTGCATTCCCCGTCTGAACGCAGCGCTCTCCGGATAGCGGGAAACCACTCGGTCAAGTACACCTGTAATATCCAGCAGCATTTTCAATTTTCAGACAAGACCATCAGCCATCCCGCCATACAACCACTACAAGACTGCCTATTTCCTCACTTCGCTTTTGCCCACAAACAGAGGTGTGGTGTGGTCGACCAACCTGGGAGGAGAGAGCGGGAGGCTGCCAGCCGAAACGGTGCGCTAATCTGCGCTGGGCCCTACTGGAGGCAGTAGCGGTAACTCGTACGAGTTACGCGGTAGTGACACGGTAATCTTTCACCCACTTCGTCCTCAGTTACTTTGAGGGCCGAAGTCGGTCAAACTATCCTCGACATAGCTGATTTGGCACGTGCTTGCCATGAAAAACAGGTAGTCAGTATAGTCTCCCCTCCCTCTATCCTGCAGGCAGTAACACAGGTACTGTCTGTCTTTCTCTTTTTTCTTTTTTTTCTTCATGACAATCACTACGTCAGAACTTCCTGAACTTGGAGAATGGTTTCGTACCAAATACCCTGGGCCTTGTTCCACTACCCTCGACTTGAAAAAAATCTCAAGGGCAGCCCTACAGGCGCCCTTGAGCCTAAACGCAAATTAAAAAACACTACAAGTCGTCATCATTCCACTACACCCTGCAGCTTCCGCTCGCAAAAGGAGTGGGAAAATGTGCGGCCCCCGGTTCGTTAGGGAAATCTGAAAAAAAAAAAAAAAAGGAACGTGGCCCCGGGAMAAATGAGATTGGGAAAAAAAAAAAAAAAAAAAAAAAAGACCGGACAAAGGGACTGAACGTAACCTGGCAGTGCATGTTGGCGCCGTTTCCAAGGAAGTCACCTCGGGGAGGTGACAGGAAAGTTGGCCTGCTTTGCCTGGGGTCGGGACCCACATGCGCCATGTAGTTTACTTGGGCGGCAGCGGGTGGCGTCAGGCGGCTGCGGGCGGCGAATCCTTGACGCATGATGGACCGGATCGGACATGCGCACCGTCAACCCGCACGAATGTGAGAAGAGTGCGCGATTTCCGAGTCTTTCAGACATTTGTATTGGCCGAGACGTGGTTTTGGAGGAGCCGCGGCCGCGTTCTGCGTGGTAGAAAGCGATTCCAAGAAAAGTGCGAGTGCTAGCGACAACGACCGCGGTCCTCTGCATTGATTGTTTTGGTCGAAAGTCCGTGATTTTACAGCCACTTCGAAGTTATGGAGGGATTTTACCGTGATTTTACCGCCACAAAACGGAAGATTATTCGATTGAGGTTGGCCACCAACCACGGGACGCCATGCCCCCTGACAGCCGATGAGGACGGCGGGGCAAGCAGACACAGACAAGTTCGGGCTTCTGGATTTTCCCATCCCCCACACGTCACACACTGTCGAAAACTACAACTACACGGCGAATGTGGGTCCCGGCCCCTGGGCACCCTACGGCCACCCATGAGTTTCAAAGTGGGAGTTTATTGAGGCTGGAACCTTAATCACTTTTCAATAGTGATTAGCAAATCTCAAGGGCGTAGTGGAACGATGCCGCCCTTGAGATTTTGTCAAGTCGAGGGTAGTGTAACGAGACCCGTACAACAAGGGTATTTGGCGTACATTTTGCAAGTCACACACGATGTGGCCTCATTGTAGTTAATAACATCCTATGTAGTCAAGACACGAACTTGGCGTGGGGTTGGTGAGATTGCATCGGGAAAGGACCAACGTGTGAATAGGAGCTGTGCCAATACTTGTCAGGCAGGACTTTAGTGCGGGCAGTGAATCGTGTTCGCATAGGATAAAGTTGAATGCTCGCCTTGATGGGCAACGCACAGTGTGTATGACAGTTGAAGTGTAACCTTTTTAGGCATAGGTGTGCGCAGTGTCAAAGGCCAGCGACGACATACCTTTAGCATAATGTGCAATATGTCAGTAGTTGGAGCACAACCCCAAGCCCTCGCACGAGCGGAGTGGGAGTTCGTCGACCATGGGATAGGCTGATAGAATAAGGTGTGGCCTGGTGCATTTTCGTCGGCCCGATGGTGGTGCGGATACCTTTTATGAAAAACTTTGTGCCTGTTGAACCTAGATTTGGGCCTAGCCCTATTGGTTACAGTACTGAATTTTCAAACAACAGGTGCAGGGAGCAAAGCTAATATGCAATAAAGTGATGCAGCGTAGAGGGACAAACCAAGGGGTTGAGGGTTCGGTAGGACAATTCTTCTTTGTTTTATTCCACGACCAGACATCGGACTTGGTTGGAAGGACCGAGGGAGTGCCAACGGTTCCCCTCTCTCCTCTTTGGCTTCAATTTTCTTTCTTTATTATTATTCTTTATTATTTTATTGTTTGTTTGTCCTTTTTTTTACCAAGCCCGATATTTGATTTCGGGACCGGCGATGTACCCAAGGGCTAAGTTCGGTTGGTACACCCACGAACTGTTAAAATACAAACTCAAGTTTGAAACTTAAGTTTGAATCCAAACACAAAATGACCCAAATAAAATAATTCTCAGTTACCATAGGCCCGATGAGATTAAAGATGATATCTCTGGGCTGTGTTCTGAGGCTTAGTCCTTCGGAACATCCATTAAAATTGGAACGGCACAGAGACGATTAGGGAGGTCCGACGTTATTTAGAGCGGCGCACTCGATGATATCGGGTCGCTGCATGCGGACTTTTTGACAGACTATAGCGAAGCTGCTTCGGTGCGTTATCGTACGGTACGGGTGAAGGTCACAATGAAGTCGAGGAAGAAAGACGCGAAGTTGACGAAGGTGGACACCTGGAAGGGAAGGAAGTTTACTAGATGAAGACAGGGGTGCCCAGGGAGATGACGAAAAATAAGAGAGACAACAATGGAAAAAATATAAAAGAGTAGTGGCGAGGAGCAGAGCAAAGAGAAAAAAGGAGAGAAGGAGAGAGAAAAAAGATTGATTGGCAATGCATCTTTCCATGTTTTACAAAAGATTCATCCTCCCTTTCTTCGTCTACGTTGCCAGATGACAATCTTAGTGCAGTACATGTCAGCGTATCTTTTCATATCTTAACGAAATATTCATTCTCATTTCACACATTTGGTGAGTAGTGGAGTAGGGATGCACCATTGGTGCACATAATATGACAATCTAGTTCTTGTTCGTCTTCATGATTGTCGTGTGCTCTTATTTATCCTGGCGGCAACGTAGCTCGTTGGGGTTCATCTTGTTTTGATAGTCGTGCATTGTAATCATCTTCATCAGCCACGTGGTCATCACTCCGTCTTATTGTTGGTGAGTCGTCGTCGCCATCAAGGTGTTGTTGTTGATCGCGGTGTCGGTCTGAATACCCTTACAAGGGTATCTGCCCTAGTTTGTGCAAGAGACAGGAGATAGTTTTGGTTCAAAGTTTAATTATACCGCTCTAGGCGCGGCCGTGTTTATGATTTATATTGACAGGATGGTTGACCAGAATAGAGTGAGTGTGGGCGCGCGGACTTTTGAGGCGCGCTTGATTTCCTTAATTGGTTGATGGCTGAAGAGTCGGGGTGATCGCCAACCGGAAATTCTCTTCTGATTAGACAGGGATTAAAAAGGATTATGTCTTGTTGATTGAGGTGCTTGCCTGTGACCTGTGCGTACGTACGGAGGACGGCACCGACGACAGTATGACTTCTGAAGGCGTTCCGGTAGTATGGCTTGTCGCGCAGTGTCCGTTTACTTGTGCGTCCCCCAGAGCTAGGCCCAGGTTCGAACGTAGTACTGTTGGTTACGGCGTCGGACTTTCGCCAAGGAGATTCAGGGATCGAGATCGAGCGGCGATAGCGCGCGAATATCAGAGTAGTACGAAAGCACCGAGGGGTTGAGGGTCCGGAGGGGCCATTCCCCTTGGCTTTGCCATTAGCGGCGTCAGGACGGAGTCAACGGTTGTTTTTCCGAGTTTTTCTCTAGTTATTAATTGCTGTCGTTATTATTTAGTTTTGTGTTTTGATTTTCGTGAGTAAGGCGTGACACCGGCCACGGGTGGCCGTTACGGCCGTCGGGGACCGTGAGAGCGCGCCTCCTTGGGTTGACTTGTGGGTGCTCGCGCGCTTGGGATGCCAGCGGTTCGTGCTGGGGGTAGGAAGTGGTCAGGGTTTGAGTTGGTAGAGTGCGTTTAAGGGAAAAGGGGGCCAGGAAATGCTGTTTTTTATGGTGGGGCCGAGGTAACCCGTGATAGTATTTCGGGAAACCTCGTGGCAGCCACATCCGTGCTCAACCGTCCAATAAAGGGATATGCGGGAGCTGCCCCTGCTCGGTACCGGTCGGGGAGGCGGGGCATAGGCGTATTTCGTAGCCTCGGGTCGGCGGGTGGTTAGCCCGCGGAATGGGAGAAACTTGGGTAGCAGAGGCTCGCTCCATACCGCACAGGCTGCCTGTAGGACTCAGTTGTAGGGGCGAATGTGGACGTGGATCGGTGCTAGATGCGTGTGAAGTGCTAGAGGGAATGAACTTGGGCGCGTTTCCGCGCCGGGTTCATTCGGAGGAAATGAGCTATGGCAGGGGTTGAAAGCGCTTACCCCGCCCGTTTCTCAATGGAAATGAGCGGGGAAAGAGAGTAAGTTGGGGTTTTAGCCCCGGGCGACCACAATAGTAATGTTAGTTTTGACATTAATATAGTAGGAATGAAGATTAGTGAGAAACTTGGTGCGTCGGGGCTATGGCGGACGAAGAAGGGAGCGAGAGGGAAAAAGGTGTATCTCATCTGATTCTTGATGGATTTAGGCGGGATAAAGTGTTGTGTTGGGATTTCTAGGGTGGGCGAAACTGATTGGGTAGCCAGAATCGGTAAAGAGCTAGTGATTTAGGAGATTAGTAAGGAAGGCTATGCGCGGAGGGGGTCGGAGGCAAGGACAAAGAAACAAAGATCTCACTCGGTTCTGGTCGGAACCGAGCGAGCTAATAGGCTAAATAGGGGTTCTTGATAATCGCGAATTATATCGCAGGGTCGCTTTCGGTCATTAATGGGTAGAGTTTGGGGTATCACGCGTATGGGCTGCATTGTGGGAGTAGTTAGTTGTTTTGGGAAGTATAGAGTGAACCTTACCTGTATTCTGAGATAAGTTCGTCCGGGCTTGTACACCTTATCGAGGGGGGTGAAGGAGGGGGAGACGACAAGCACAAGAGGAGGATGCAGCTGCCAGCGGCTCGTTCCTGCGTATTCCGCGAGAGGTTCGTTCAGACATTTTGCACTCCTCGACAGTCGAAGAGTGAGAGGGAGAGGAAGGAAGAGTGAGGCGCACGTACCTAGT